GTCCCCTGATCATCTTTGTTGCTCTTCTCTGCACTCCTTCTAGAGTCTCAACATCTTTTTTATATCATGGTGACCAAAACTTGTAGCATTTTTGAACTCTATCCTAGTTCCTGATTTCATAGTAGTGTGAATTTAGCACCCCCCCCCCGCCACTTTGTTATCGCAATGTTACTAAAATGTCCCTTTATTCTGGAATCAATTGCATGCCCGGTTACATTTCCATTGAGATGGATGGTTTAAGTATGTCATCACATGATCTGCACTCGGATAAACTCTTACAGGTTCACCCTGTAGGCCTCTAAGCATGATATGCAGAACGTGAAGGCCTAACTCAATCTGATGATAAGCAACTTCCATTCAAGACAAATAGTAAGTGCCTGGTGCAAACCAATAGCAGCAACTAGGAGCTTGGATCCATCTTCCAGTTTGAACTGAGAAACTGAACAGAAAGAAGCTCTTGGCTCAAGATTGTGAAGGAAGCCACATTTAGTGGCCTGTACTAAGCCTCGATCCAAATATTACCACTGACCCTAATTCCTGATCATGATTCAATTCTGGGTGATGCTTAGTAGGATAACTGATCAACATGAACCAGGAATTTTTTCTATGGGCAAATTATATGAGAAAAAAAAATTGTGTTGGCAGTTTTACAATGGACACACACCTCTCTGAATGTATGACTCAACATCTCTTAAGAAGTTTTAGTCATGGGATTAGCCTGTAAATCCACGAAAAGTGAAATGTCAGCTAGGATTTTAGTCTCTGGATTATCTTTGATAATTTTATCTAGAAACCAGTGTCCAATTACTGTAGGATGACTGGCTCACTTGTGTTGTGAGAAAAGAGCCCTGTGTGGAAGTTGTAGCAGTGACTCAGCAAACCCACACCAAAATTGCCCACTCTTATATCTTTCTCTGTTGTTGTTTTGTTTTTTGTGTTGGACCTAAAATTATATTTTGCTGAAACTCTTAAATTCCCTAATGTGTCACCCTTTTTCCTACGCAGATCTCCAGAACATATACAGGTAATCCTTCAGTGGGGACCACAATTGACCCCAACATTTCTGTTGCTGAGGGAGACATTTGTTACGTGGCTTTTGCCCCATTTTACGACTTCCTTTCTTGCTACATTTGTTAAGTGAATCACTGCAGTTGCTCAGTTAATAACATGGTTGTTAAGTGAATCCAGCTTCCCCATTGACCTTGCTTATCAGAAGGTCACAAAAGGGGATCTCGTGACCCCAGGACACTGCAACCGACATAAGTACAAGTCAGTTGCCGAGCATCTTAATTTTGATCACGTGATCATGGGGATGCTGCGACGGTCGTTAAGTGTGAAAAATGGTCTTAAATCACTTTTTTCAGTGCCGTTGTAACTTTGAATGGTCACTAAGCGAACGGTTGCAGATTACCTTCAGCCCCTTTTTTCAGAGGACAATGTGGCTTTTTTAAAAAATAAAATAAAAAAAGGATAGAATGATGAGCTGAGGTGGCGCAGCAGTTAGAGTGCAGTACTGCAGGCCACTTTAGCTGACTGTGTTCAGCAGGTCAGCGGTTCAAATCTCACCGGCTCAAGGTTGACTCAGCCTTCCATCCTTCCGGGGTAGGAAAAATGAGGACCCAGATTGTTGGGGGCAATGTAAATATATATATATATATACATTGCTTACTGGTGTACACCACTTAGAGAGTGCTTGCACTTAAAGCGGTATATAAGTCTCATAAATAAATAAATAAATAAATAAATAAATGATTGTGTTGATGAATAAGGAGGAGGAGGAAGAGACAATGACTAAAAAATTCCCAGGCCGGGTATACTGAAAATGTAAATAATCAACCGCTATTTTGCACAGACCACGAGAAGCATAAAGCTGAGTTTCCATTAAGCCACGAAAAAAACGGAAAGGAGAAATAGTGAGGTTAAAATTTAGGAGTGGTAACTTTTGGGGGAGAGCCTTTTTTTGTCACTAAACAGTCAGTTCTTTTAAGACAGCGGTTCTCAACCTGTGGGTCGGGACCCCCCATTTGGGCTCGAACGACCATTTCACGGGGGTCGCCAAACAATGCAGTCTGCCATTTTTCCCCCCTTTTCCTTAGCTGTGCTACTCCCTTTTATTCTATTGGCTTTTGAAAGCCAATAGAATAGACTCTCTTGAATAGAGTCTAATTCTATTGGCTTTCAAAAGCCAATAGGAATTGTCCAGGCTGTCTCTGCCCTGCTGAGCCCGCCAAAAGTCCCATTCTGCAAACGGTGCTGCACCAGTTGAGTAGTCCTCGACTTACGACCAGTTGGGGGTCGTGGCATTAAAAAGGTTGAGAACCACTGTTTTAAGAGGTTCAGTCCTTGCGTACAAGGTTCACTTTACCGGTTTAAGTCGTGTTGAGTTTTTTGAACTTTCCACCAAGTTAGAGCCATCCAGGAAGAGCTTGACTAGGGTGCCTTTGTGGGAGTCAAGCTTGTCTTCTACTGCTCTGCTTGGTGAGCTTCTCAACTTTGGTGAACGAGATTAACTGAATTGCAGTTACTTTTCTCTCCTTTCATTTGCTAAATTGGAGCTCGGGTCTTCCTCTTAAATCAAGGAGGCCAACACCAGGGATGATGTTGAGGAAATGGGCGCTGGAGCTAGCTACGCCTCTTCCCTTCCAGAGGTTCAAGATAACTTCTTCCATGAGCGACTTCCTTTCAATTCACCCATACTTGTGAGAAGGCTGAGAAGATGGACGAGGGCACGACTGCCTACTTTAACCCATGATTAAGAGTCTATGGAGATTCTCAGTCATCCAGGTCATGGTTGTGAAACCATGAAAAAGCACCTTTGGGGCAACCATGATTAAGTGGAGACTTGACCCTGGAAGCTGTCATGGTTCCGACAGATGATACTCTTCAAAGAACTTCGAGGCATTGTTTACCTTAAAGAATCTTTATTTTGAGTAACATAACATCGGCAGTGCATAAGCAAAGGCAAAAACTGAATTCCCCTCCCCTGGGCACATCGTATCAAAGCACAATTCCCTCCTCCAATTAACAGTCATAAATCACATTCCCCAATTAGCTTGAAGCACGGGCTTCCTCTCCCGTTCTCCAGCCCGCCACCAATTCTTATCATCTCTGGTTCGCGATAACCTTGATTCTCACGCTAAGTTTAATGTTGTTATATCTAGCTGGACTCTCATTCATATCCCCCCTCCCAGCATCATTTAACTCTAAAAGCAAAAGGTAAAAGATGGCTACATTTCCATTTGTTGTCAATGCAAAAACATACGATGTTAGCAGCATTGACAGTAGAATAACTAATTTTCTCAGTTTAGGTGTAAGGCATCCATAGTGCAGCAGTCTATAAAACTTGACTAGGAGTTTTAATTAAAGGTCCGGTCAATGTTTAAATGGGGAAACTCTTTCAGGTTTTGTTCTGTGTAACAAAAGGGAGCTATATAAATGTAATTAAAACCAAGTGGTTCCTTTCCTTTTTCTTTTTAGCGATTTATGCCGACGGCGTCCAAGTGAAAGGCTACTTTGTCTGGTCCCTCCTGGACAACTTTGAATGGATTTGTGGATACAGCTCTCGGTTTGGGCTCTTCCACGTAGATTTTGAAAACTCAGCATTGCCCCGAGTTCCTTATAAATCTGCCATTGAATATGCAAAAGTCATCGCCAACAATGGGCTGGTGGAATCACCTAGATAACAGATGAACATCAACGGACTGCACGGGACGGTCTTTTTAAAACGGAATGTGGGTTTTTAATAAAGGTCCGTCAAAAGCGCAATCAGCAAAATTGCGGGTATTAGAACAATAACTACACAAGGGATGTAAAACCTACATACTGCAAGACGTGGCTTTTTAAAAAAGAAACTCGAAATGCTGAGTGACTATTATGTACTTCCACAATGTTTATTATTGGACTGGGCAGAAATTCATTAGAAAAACATAAGTAATTAACCCACATTGATTAAATAGGTTTGGTACATCAATGGTTTGGTACTCTTTTATTTTTAACTTTAAAAAACAACAACTGCATACGGGTAATTCAAATTCTGTGCCAAGAATGGATGCATTCGGTGACCTGCACTAATTAGGCAAATTTGCCGTATTTCTTCATTGTACGTAGTTTGTCCTGCAAAGCTAGTTAGAACTGAAAGGAACGCTAAATGTGTTTGCCGATAAAGATTGAAGCAGAGGAGAGAAACAAACTAGTCCTCAGAGAGGCATTTTTGAAGCTTTGCCTGTCTAAAAAGCTCATGAAAGGGCTCTTTTTCTGTGACAAAGTGAAAGCTTGGGTTAAGTGGCCCACGGTGGGGCAGGAAAAAGGAAAAACATGTATGTGCAGCCTTCACCAAAAGTCCTTCTGGTGGCTTTTCATTCATAGCAATTGCAGAATAGCACCTGCAGAGACATGGATGGATGCCTGTTGGATTAGGGAAAAAAGAGCCACTCTTCTGGGTGCAAAAAGTAGAAAGATTAGCAAAGGGCAACATGCTTCCAAAGTTTGGACAGGTATTGTTCCGGAATTGGAATTGGAATTGAGAAGGGAAGGGAAGGGAAGGGAAGGGAAGAGAAGAGAAGAGAAGAGAAGAGAAGAGAAGAGAAGAGAAGATGGAAGGGAAGGGAAGGGAAGGGATGGGATGGGATGGGATGGGATGGGAAGAGAAGAGAAAGAAGGGAAGAGAAGAGAAGAGAAGAGAAATGGAAAGGGAGGGGAAGAGAAGAGAAAGGAAGGAAGAGAAGAGAAGAGAAAGAAGGGAAGAGAAGAGAAGAGAAGAGAAATGGAAAGGGAGGGGAAGAGAAGAGAAAGGAAGGAAGAGAAGAGAAGAGAAAGAAGGGAAGAGAAGAGAAGAGAAGAGAAATGGAAAGGGAGGGGAAGAGAAGAGAAAGGAAGGAAGAGAAGAGAAGAGAAAGAAGGGAAGGGATGTGAAGGGAAGAGAATGTTAAGTGACAGAATTCTCAAATTAGTCATCAAAGTTGCTTTCCATTTACTTTCTCCTTTTTTGATTTTGTTTTTAGGAGAAAGTACAGCGGCGCTCTTGAAAAGATTAACCACAGTTAGCATCTTTCACAGAAGAAGAAGAAAAATACACCCCCCCCCACACACACACACACAAAATAAAACCTGAGCAGTGTGTTTTCACTTTGGCTTGAGAAAAAAAAAAGCAAGTCCTAAAATTAAGGCAGGTGAGCAAACTCCCCCGTAAGATCTCCAAAGACACTGCAAGGTAGGGCAGTGTTTATTGTGAAATCTGACTTTCCGAGGACTATATTGGGGCGCCATGTTTTCAAATAGCAGAATCTAATTACAAAAAATGTGTCTCTGTGTACAGATAATCCTCGATTTAATGGCCACAACGAGGCTCCAAATTTCTATTCTTAAGCGAGACGTTTGTTAGGGGAGTTTTGCCCCATTTTACAACTTTTCTTGCCCCCATTGTTAAGCAGATCCCTGCAGCTGATAAGTTAGTAACCCGGTTGTTAAGTGGGTCTGGCTTTCCCCACTGACTTTGCTTGTCGGACGGTCGCAAAAGGGGATCACACACCCCCGGGACACTGCGACTGTCGTAAATGTGAGTCAGTTGCCAAGCGCCCAAATTTGGATCACGTGACCCCCTGAGTGATGCTACAAAGGTGGTAACTATGAAAAAACGGTCGTAAGTCCCTTTTTTTCCAGTGCCGTTGTAACTTTGAACAGTCACTAAACCGTCAGTTGTAAGTGGAGGACTATCTTGTACACTGTTATAAGTAAAATTCTATGTAGATCAAAGCGCTGCAAAGCTACGGTTCTAAGTTGGTGAAAACACACACACACACACACACACACACACATAGACCAAGCTTTTTGATCATTTTTGTTGATTTGCTTGAAAAGGGAGTCGTGGTCTGTTCTTTTAATTAAAACAAAAAACGAAACCGTAACAGTCTTCAAAAGCATCTCCTTCCACTTGCCTTTCACCAAGCGTTCAGTAGACTCTTTCAAAATCGCCCCCTTTCATCCTCCAAGCCCAAATTTAATGAGCGTAATCAATCCATAAAGAGAGATAGATGAGATTATTATTATCCTAGTCTTGCAGAAAATGATGCACGCCAACCTTTAGCTGTCTATTATAACTCTCTTGGGCATCGAGGTGGAGGTGAGGGCCTCTCAGGACTCCGTCCAAAATGAAGGAAATTATTCTTTCTTGGTCCCAGCCAGGCTAATCATCCCTGGAGATTTTTAAGAAGAGACTAGACAGTTACTTGCCTGAAATGGTCTAGGTTCTCCTGCTCAAGCAGGGGGCTGGACTAGATGACCTCCAAGGTCCCTTCCAGCTCCTATTCTATTCTATTCCATTCCATTCCATTTCATATTCTATTTCTACTCTATTTTTATTCTATTCTTTTTCTGTTCTATTCTGTTCTACTCCACTCCATTCCATTCCATATTCTATTCCATTCCATATTCTATTCCATTCCATATTCTATTCTATTCCATTTCATATTCTCTTCTCTTCTCTTCTATTCTATTCTATTCTATTCTATTCTATTTTCGCTCTACTCTACTCCACTCCACTCTATTCGATTAGATTTGATTCGATTCGATTCACTTATTTTATTCTTCATTTATTCTATTCTATTCTATTCTATTCTATTCTATTCTATTCTATTCTATTCTATTCTATTCTATTCTATTCTATTCTATTCTATTCTATTTATTCTTCATTTATTCTATTCTATTCTATTCATTCCATTCCATTCCATTCCATTCTGCCAGACTAAAGCCTCACTGATTATTGCTACTGGTTTGATTTTTTAGAAGATAAGGTATCCGTTTTTTCTTCTTATTTCTTCCTGTTGAGGTTGCACTCGTGAACCTGATTTTCAGAATGGTTTAAAATCAGACCAAACTGGCATCTTTAAATGGGGAATATCTTCTAAATAAAATCAGATGGACATCATCAACCTGCCCAGCTGCCAGGCCGCACTGGCTTAGAGTAATATTCTGACCTCTTTGTACTGTGTTTTGTTTGTGTTTTTAAATACTCCTGAGCCTCGAATTTTACAAGTGGTTCTATGTTATATTCTCTTCAGATTTTATGTTATTATTCAAGAAAGAAGAGCTCTCTTTAATTAGGACACCAGGTAGAAATTTATCCTGATGGATATATTTATACATTCTATTTTGGAATACATGGACGATAGATTTTGTTTTCCACAGAAAAGAGGTATCGTTTCTGCATTAGTAAATTACATCTTCCAGCTCACTTGCTTTATCGGCTGAAATAAATATGCCAGATAATGAAATTCAAAGTCACTGAAAGTGCTGCATCCTTCTGAAGTTCTGTGTTGGATTTGAAAAGACATTTCTCTCTCTCTCTCTCTCTCTCTCTCTCTCTCTCTCTCTCCCTCTCTCTCTCTCTCCCCCTCCTTCTCTCTCCTCTCTCTCGCTCTCCCTCTCTCTCTTCTCTCTTCTCTCCTCTCTCCCTCTCTCCTCTCTCTCCCTCTCCATCTCTCTCTCTCTTCTCTCTCCTCCCTCCCTCCCTCTCCTCTCTCTCCTACTCCCTTTCTCTCTCCTCCCTCTCTCCTCTCCCTCCTCTCTCTCTTTCAAAGTTTTATAAGACAAAGGACAATTCACTAATTACTCCTGAAAATTAGTATTGCTGCGCAGTTATGTAGAAGGAGAAAAAAAAAAACGAGACCAAATCCCTGCAGTATTTCAATTACTGTTATTTTTTTAATTGCTTGTATTAGCATTTAAGATCAAGATTGATTAGCTTCGGACCATCAAACAAAGGGTTGAAGTCGTGGGCTGGAAGTTCTTAATTATATTTAGAATCTGTCAATATGATACATACCCAGCTAAAAGGTCAACAAAATAGAGTACCATAACTACAACGTTCCGCCTCTATTGAATGTTGAGGACAGGAGGAGTCCCCTTCTCCTCCCTTATCTGATCATTTGCCACCCCCAAAAAGGCGCAACCAATTCTGTCCTCGTTGATGGGAGATGCTTCCAGGCAAATCTTTTATCGTGCAATTATCCTGCCACATTTAGGACATTTTGGGAGAGTGGGCAATCAATGTCATATCCTACATCTGACCTTTCCTAGTTGCAGTGCCCATTAAGACAGTAATAGTGAGCTGTAGTAAGTGCCCGGTGATGTGGGAGTGGGCCCACGAATTGGTTTGGGGTGTACTCTTAGTTGCATTTTAAAAGCTCCTTGGTCAGAGCAATTGGTTTCTCTTAAAATTGGGATTAAAACAGCAATAGTGGATAGAATCCCCAAGACCAACTCATATAGGCTTAGATTATCCACCTTCCAGGTGGATAGAAGGGACAGTTTAACCAGGTAAATTGGTCTCTCTCTAAATAAACCAGAAACATCCCAACTACTCGCTCGTCCACTCTGTATCTTAAGTCCACCATGATACATTTTGTAGCAGCGACAGAAGCTCTGACATCTTGGGATGTCTTTGTTCTTCTTTTTTTTTACTGCGGTAAAATTATTCAGGTATGTCCAGAAGGCGAAGAAGTGGGTAGATGGAGGCCCACAGAGAAAAAGATGGAATTGGGCTCTCCAGCTGAGTCCCTAAACCAACAGGTAGAGTCTTCTGACGATGGGAAATGGCCTTTTCGGCCTGCGGAGTGAAACAAGCCTAAGGCCATCAGCATTCGGATTTTTGAAGGGCGGCCAAAGCTTTGCTCAGGTAAGCAAAAAAGCCACTTTATCCGTGATTATTTACTTGGGCCAAGTTTTAACTTTCTTGGGAAGACTTGGAAGCATCCTAAGGCAGCCATGCTGTGCCTACGACAACTACGGAAACACAGGATGTCCATCTGCCTTAAGGAACAAGTTCAGGAGGTTTCGTGGTTGAGAAATAACATCTACCTCTGCTCTCTCATCACCGTCCTTTTCCTTTCAGTGATGTATATGTCACCTTCTCTCTATGGATCTCTCCATTTATGGATGAAGTGTCTCCATCATACTATTTCCGCTAAACTCTGCTGAAGATGTTACCTAGCCTGGTAACAAAACATTTGGAAACCAGCTTGGAAAACAAACCCAGTTTTCCAGTATTTGAGGGGCTGCCACTAAGAAGAGGGCATCAAACCATCCCCCAAAGCACCAGAGGGCAGAACAAGAAACAATGGTTGGAAACTAACCAAGGAGAGAAGCAACTTGGAATTAAGGAGAAACTTCCTGACAGTGAGGACAATTAACCAGTGGAACAGCTTGCTTCCAGAAGTTGTGGATTCTCAATCTCTGGAGATTTTTAATGCCATTTTATTTTAAAATCTGTTCAATTGATAACATTTGAGCTCTGAAGATGCTTGTCAATCAATAGCTTCTTCTCAACTTGAAGATGTCTCTGTTTCCAGACCTGGGGAATTTCCAGATTGTCCTGTCTGAAAATGATCATTTGCTAAGAATTTGGGGACATGAAAGTAGCTCCCCACATGGATGCATTTTTAACTTCCAGAATTTCCTGGCTGATATTGACATGTACCTGTGGAACTGAAACGTATTATAGATCTTATTAATTCTTTGTGAAATGAAATACCACATAGGTATTCCACTCAATCACCCTTCAGTTTAGTGTCAAATAAAAAAAAAAAGGAAAGTCTGTAGAAAGCAGCTTTTTTTGAGAAGCTGTCTGTTTATTTTTATACAACGCTTTCTCTTTAATATAAGGATTAGAACTGATGTTTACATATTGTTTTAATCCGCTGCTAAGTGGTACATTTGTTCCATTTTTGAATTTTGAATGAAAAGTCTTGCATTAAAAACGCCCCCTCTGCAAAACAGGGACAACAAATATCTTTGCAATAGGCACCTTCTTCTCCCCACCCCCCCCTCCTGTAAAATGTCAAATGAAACATCGTCTTACTTACAATGTGCTTTTTAAAATAAAATAAAATAAACTCCCTAAAGCACAGCCAGTTGAAGTCAAATCCCAAGTCTTGAATAATCGATGCTAAAGGAGACATGATTGGGAACAAAGCTTTTCTACGTTCCATATGTGCACGAACTGAAAATAAATCTGTTGTTTGTTTTACCTGCTGTCTCCCAGCCTTATCGCCTAGGTTAGCAATAATGTACTTTTGATGGTGTATAAACATCATCTTGTGGCAATCCATACTGGACTCTCTCCAGCAGGCCTTGTGGGAAAATCAATTTGCACAGCTCCAGGTACATTCTGAGAAGGAAAATAGGCCTATGTGAATGCAGGAGGGTCAGCAAGCCTGTTGACCCTCTGCCAATTATAGATATCAACATTTGTATTTTGAGTTACGGCCCCAGTGAGTTCACCAGACTCCTAAGTTTGAGGGCAAACGTTTGTTCTCGTGGGTTGTGGGTTGGTTTCTGAACATTTCATCACCAGCCCAGATAACATCTTCAGCAGAGTTTAGGGCAGGGGTCCCCAACCTCCGGTTTGTGGACTGGTATCGGGCCGCAACATGCCAGCAACCGGTCTGCGCAAACAAGCAAAGCCCCATCTGCGGGATGCAGGCAGCACACAAAACCACACACCCTCCAGTCCACGGAAAATCCTCTCTCCACGGAACCGGTCCCTGGTGCCCAAAAGGTTGGGGATCTCTGTTTAGATGATGTCAGATATTAGCCACTATTGTTTTCCTGAGTTTATAATATTCCTTGTAGAAGATCTTAAACCTGCAGATACATGCACTTAAAACATCATTTCCCATATTGCAATTGGAACTGGCCACCAATTCCTCCTACCGCAACATCTGCAGAAGTTTCTACTATCTTTCTCCAAGTTGTTTGGACTAGCTGGATAGACCTCAATCACAACCACCTTGCTTTAAAAAGCTTCCTTCCCCCCCATCCCTCTCCTCCACCTCCAGAAATGTCCTCTACATGCAAGCATGATCGTTGGTACATCTTCTTTACTTTTCTTGGAAAAAGCTTCAACCTGGAGTTGTAGATGGAATCAAGTTAGGGCTACCCACATCTGGGCTGGAAGAATCTGGAGAAGCACAACTAGAGCCACAGAGAGCATCAGCTCCGTAGAGCAGGGATGTCCAATCTTGATAATTTTAAGACTTGTGGATGTATCTCCAGGGATTCCCTAGTCAGCATGGCTGGATGGGGAATTCTGGGAGTTGAAGTCCACAAGTCTTGAAGATGCCAAGATTGGACATCCTCATGTTAGACCAGGCTCGCTGGGGAATTCTGGGAGTTGAAGTCCACAAGTCTTGAAGTTGCCAAGGTTGGACATCCCTGCTCTAGACA